ATCGAAAAATCGAAAAGTTAAAAATGAAAAAATTGAGAAATCGGGAGACTGAACAATCAAAACAAGAGATCTCAAAAAATTGAAAAATCGAAAATTTAAAAATTCGGAAAATTGAAAGATTAAAATACCTATAGAAGAATTGACTCGAGCAATTGAAAAATCTATAATTTTAAAAATTGAAATTTAAAATATCGAAAACTTGAAAAACTGAGAGATCGAAATATAAAACAGTCGACAAGTTAAAAAGTCCAAAGCTTAAAAAACGAAAAATTGAACATCTAAAACGTAAAAAGTCGAGAAATCGAAAAATCCAGAACTCGAAAAATCGAAAAGTAGAAATATGTACTAAAAAATTCCAAAACTGAAATATCAAAAAATTGATAACTAGAAGAAAAATTGAAGAATCGAAAAACTGAAAAATCACAGAATTGAACGAGATTTCCAAACATTGGAAAACAAAAAAAAATAAAAATTGGGAAATGGAGAAGTCAAAAAAACAAAATCGAAAAATCGCAAACATAAAAAACCGAAAAATTGAAAAATTTGGAAAACTTAAAATTCAGAAATGTCAAAATTTGAAAAATTAAAAACTATTGAAGAACTCAAAAATCGAAAAATTTAAAATTTATAAAATTGAAAAATTGAAAAATCCGATAATTCAAAAATCGAAAAACCGACAAATCGAAAAACCGAAACATCAAAAAATTCAAAAACTGAGACATCGAGAAACCGAAAAATCAAAAGATCGAGAAATCGAAGAGTCGAAAACTCGAGAAGTCCAAAAATCGAAAAATTGAGAAACTGATGGAAAAATCGAAAATTAAAGATGAAAGATTAAAATAGAGAAGAACTGAAAACTCGGAAAATTGAAAAATTTAGAATTTTAAAAATTGAAAGATTAAAATACCTATAGAAGAATTGACTCGAGCAATTGAAAAATCTATAATTTTAAAAATTGAAATTTAAAATATCGAAAACTTGAAAAACTGAGAGATGGAAATATAAAACAGTCGAAAAGTTAAAAAATCCAAAGCTTAAAAAACGAAAAATTGAACATCTAAAACGTAAAAAGTCGAGAAATCGAAAAATCCAGAACTCGAAAAATCGAAAAGTAGAAATATGTACTAAAAAATTCCAAAACTGAAATATCAAAAAATTGAAGAATCGGAAAACTGAAAAATCACAGAATTGAACGAGATTTCCAAACATTGGAAAACAAAAAAAAATTAAAAATTGGGAAATGAAGAAGTCAAAAAAACAAAATCGAAAAATCGCAAACATAAAAAACCGAAAAATTGAAAAATTTGGAAAACTTAAAATTCAGAAATGTCAAAATTTGAAAAATTAAAAACTATTGAAGAACTCAAAAATCGAAAAATTTAAAATTTATAATATTGAAAAATTGAAAAATCCGATAATTCAAAAATCGAAAAACCGACAAATCGAAAAATCGAAACATCAAAAAATTCAAAAACTGAGACAACGAGAAACCGAAAAATCAAAAGATGGAGAAATCGAGGAGTCGAAAACTCGAGAAGTCCAAAAATCGAAAAATTGAGAAACTGATCGAAAAATCGAAAAGTTAAAGATGAAAGATTAAAATAGAGAAGAACTGAAAACTTGGAAAATTGAAAATTCTAGAATTTTAACAATTGAAAAATTAAAATAGCGAAAACTTGAAAAACTGAGAAATCGAAATATAAAACAGTGGAAGAATTAAAATACTGGAAAATCATAAAAAAGAAAGAAATATCCAAAAATTGAGAAATTAAAAAATTGGAAAATTGAGTAATCGAAAAACCAAAAAAGCAAAGTCGAAAAATCGGAGAATTGAAGAACTGAAAAATCGAAAGTTCAAGAAGTCGAGAAATGGGAAAATCAAAAATAGATTAATTGAGAAATCGGAAAACTGGAACCTTAGCAACGTCGAAATTTGAAAAACCAAATAATTGAGTAATCGAAAAACCTAAAATATAAAACATTGAACAATTAAAACTGAAAAATCTACAAATCTAGAAATCGAATCTTCAGAATTTAAAAAAAGTGAAAAATCGAAAAATCGAAACATCAAAAAATTCAAAACGTGAAAAATCGAAATATCTGAATTCGGTAAATCGAGAAATCAAAAAATTGAAAAATCGAGAAATTTTCAGAAAGAAAAATTGGAAAAATCGAAAATTTAAAAATTCGGAACATTGAAAAATTGAAATATAGAAGAAGTGAAAACTCGAGTTATCGAAAGACCTAGAGTTTTAAAAATTCAAAAATTAAAACATCGAAAATTTGATCAATTGAGAAATCGAAGTATAAAACAGCTGAAAAATTTTGGATTGGGCGTGTCGAGATCTACGTCCCTGAATTTTTTCATAATTTTTAGACAACTTTTTGAAAATTGAAATTTTTTAACGGTCCCCCCTTCTAAAAAATAAAGTTTTACGAAAAATTGTAAATCCAAAAAGTAAAAAATCCAGGAGTCCAAGAATCGAAATATTGAAAAATTCCAAAACTGAAAGGAATATCCTAAAAATTGAGAAATTAAAAAATTGGTGACGTGAAATATCGAAAAACTGAAGAAACAAAGTCGAAAAATCGTATGCTTAAAAAATCGAAAAATTGGAAAATGAAAAATCCCTAAAAAATCGAAAAATTGAAAAATTGAAAAAATCGAAACTTTTGGAAGTCGAGAAATGAGCAAATAAAAAATAGATTAATTGAGAAATCGGAAAAATGAAAATTCAGAAACGTCCAAATTTGTAAAATTAAAAAATATCGAAAAACTGAAAAATTGTAAAATCGAAAAATCTGAAATTTAATACATTGAAAAATTGAAATATCCTAAAATTGAAAAATGGAGAAATCGAAACATCAGAAAAACAAAAATTCGGAAATCTAAAATTTAAAAATGGAGAAACTGAAAAATCAACAAATGGAGAAATCGAAACATCAAAAAATTCAAAAACTGGGACATCGAGAAATCGAAAAGTTAAACAGAAAAAAATTGACAAATCGAGAGATTGAACAATCAAAACATTGAAACATGCGAATCTCGATAAATCGAGATCTCAAGAAATTAAAATATCGAAAACTTGAAAAACTGAAAAATCGGAAAATCCGTAAGTCGAAGAATTAAAATACTGGAAAAACCTAAAAATGAAAGAAGTATCCAAAAATTGAGAAATAAAAAAATTGTAAAATTGAGAAATCGAAAAACCAAAAAAGCAAAGTCGAAAAATCGGAGAACTGAAGAAGTCAAAAATCGAAATTTAGAGAAGTCGAGAAATGGGAAAATCAAAAATAGATTATTTGATAACAGTTAAAAGATTGCAAAATTGAAAAATCGAGAAATCCAGAAATAATAAAAATTCGAAAATCTAAAATTTAAAAATCGAAGAACTGAAATCGAAACATCGAAAAATTCAAAAGTAAGACATCTAGAAATCGAAAAATAAGAAAATCGAGAAATGGAGGAATGGAAAGCCGAGAAGAAAGGTTAAAAAATTCGATAAATCGAGAAGACCTAGAATTTTAAAAATTCAAAAATTAAAATATCGAGAAGTTGATCAATTGAAAAATCGAAGTGTAAAACAGTCGAAAAATTGAAAAATTTCAGTTTAACGAAAAATCGAAAATCCAGGAGTCCAAAAATCGAAAAATGATGCCACTTACGAAAGTGTGCGAAACGTTGAGCCCAAAAACTCTTTTATAAAAAAATGGTGGAGGCGCCGAGAATAAATTCGCCTTTTTTTCTCCCTCATTTCAACAGATATTTCCAAAACTAAGCACAGATTCGCTATTTTTCGTCCCAAAAATAACCTCTGATTTGTGAAAATTTTCGAATGAGTTTTTGATCGATCTGGTAGTTTATATATTCGAGTCCATTCCTTTTAATACAAACACACAAAGAACACAGCACCCAATTTTCCTGGTAGGTAACAATACGTACAAAAGTTTGCATATACGAGTAGTTTCCGGAGTTACACTGATCGATATTCCCATACCCATATCTTTTGTAAAAAAGTAATAGATACGACTTCGACTACATTTCAGGCCAAGGACGCAAATTCGCAAATAATTCGAAACGCGGTTAGCCGAAAATTTCTTCCCCAACTGTCTTTATCTACAAATAGTTCGCCATTGTTCCAGCAGCAACAAATAATTATCGTACGAATTAAAAGCGATTTCCCCGCAGCCAGCAACCTAACACCGCGTGGTACCTGCCAAATCGGGCCCAAAACGGCACAATTAGTGCTTCAGACATCTAATTTACTAGTTATTTTAGAATTATGTCCTGACATCCCGGCTTTATTCCTGCAAAAACGCAATCTCGTTCGTACGGCTATAATTTACACAGCACGAATGCGCTGCGGCCGGACGAAGGAAAAGGATAACGGATATCGGGGTTGTTTATCAATTTGTAAGGTGGCAGCGCGTGGTTGTTACTTATAGTCGGCCCTCTAATCACTCGATTATGAGCCTTGGGAAAAAACAAGTGCACCGTATCGGGGAACAGATAAGCGCGCGGGGCATGACCGCCCCCACTTTGGCCGGGAATGGGTTGCCTAGGTCGGGTTGATTTAGGCTAAATGGGCCGCGGGCTGGGTTATTGTTTGTCAACAAGCGGGCTCGTGCTGAAAAACTCGCGTGATGGGACGAATTATGGGCCAGAAGTTGCCTTTTCGTACTCCATAAACGGCGATTATTTATCGGGGGAGTCCGGCGCGGAGACAGTGATTTGCGGATTAGACTAATCGCGGGAGAAATTTTCTTCGGTTTTTGAGTCCGTCTAAAGGGCTAATTATACCGTCCGGGTACCACGCGGTGTAAGGCTGGCGGCTGGTCCGGAAGTCGGCTTTTAATTCGTCGCGATCCATCATCGTTGATCGAGCAATCGAGGCGGCATTAAAAATTGCGCCGCACCGGAAATTGGCGAGTTTTTCGCTCGCTTCCGCTGCACCACCGCCAACTTAATAATTGGGGAAGAAGTGACGTGCGTTCTTTTTCTCTGCACGCAACACCGTAATGTAACTGGCAGGCTTCAGTGTTGGCTGGGTTGCGTGCTCGGTAATAAGTAGGCGCTTTTTGAAACCGATACCGGACGATTTACACGGGATTTAGACACCGATGGCTGAAGAAGAAGAGGAATTGCTGTGTTAGTCGTGGGGGTATTGATAAAGCGGGATGTGCCGGCTGTGAGGGTATGTGACGAGAGGAGGAGGGAGGTTTGACAGGTAATTGACACGTAGGAGTCTAGTTTTTAATTTAGGAGCTTGCGGAGAGTGACAAGTGCGTTAGTGAGGTTTTCTATGAAGTAGGCAACCAACAATACTAATTTTAATTACGAAGGTTGTGGTTAATTCGCACCGCCTGAGTTTTCTGCTTCAAATTAGGCTTATTATTTTTGAATAACTTCCTAATAGTTGACTCTGCTTTAGAAAACCTTGAAAACAACAGCAGTTTGCCATAAATCAAGTTTTTTTTTGTACTAACTTGCGAAAACTAACCACATTAAGATAAAAATAATAATAAATCTTTGTCGAAAGTAAATTATACTACGGAGAATTGTCCCCACGTCACGGCAGACTGCTGTGGAATTTTTATTATAAACAAATAATCACCAATACACAATTCGTTGTTATGTTTAATTTTCAGTTTTTATGTTGTTATCAATTTCGGTTTTAGTTTCAGCATTCATTGAAGACAGTTACCAGATTAATTAATTATAACAGTTCACTCAGCTTTAAGTTCTTTTTTCTTCACGAGTGTGAACAAATTCATCGGACTTTCATGTTTTCTAGATGTGTCACAAGTCCTAGAATACGAAAAAATAGATCTCCCGTTTCCGTCTGTCTGTCTGTATGTCCCCCGTCTGTGTATTTTTATTAGGTAGAGAGTATCCGAAACTACCGAACCGATTGTTGTCAAATTTTATGTGTATATTAGGAATATCACGTATATGGTAAAACGCTAGCCAAAACTTGTCTGATTATCCCCACTAACAATGGAATGATGTCATCTTCAAAATTTACATTAATAAATGTTTTTTAAATATTCCAGTTTTTGTTTCAATTTTTCGATGGTTTGATTTCTCAATTTTTCGATTTTTGCATTTCAGCTTTTGGATTTTTCAATATTTCGATTCTTCAATTTTTTTCATTTTTGGGCTCTTCGATATCTCAATTTTCCTACTTTCAATTTCTCATTTTTCGTTGTTTCAGTTTTTCGATTTTTCAATTTTTCGGTATTTCAGTTTTTGGGATTTTTCAATTTTTCGAAAATTCGATTTTTCAATATGTCGTGAGTGCAATTTTGGGATTTTTCAATATTTGGATTTTTCGACTTTTCGATTTTCCGTTCTTTCAGTTTTTTTTCTTCAGTTTTTCGGTTTTTGGATTTCTCAACTTCTCGATTAATGGATTTTTTGACCTTCCGATTTCTCGATTTTTTGAGCTTCTCAATTTTTTGATTTTGCCATTTCTCGATTTCTCGAATTTTCACTGTTTCGATTTCTCGATTTTTCGGTTTTTCAGTTTTTCATTTTTTATGTTTCAATGTTTCAGTTTTTCAGATTTTCAATTCTCCAATTTCTCTTCCATTTTTCAATTTGGGTATTTTCGATATTTCTCAACTTCTCGATTTTTTACTTTTTCGATTTTTTGATTATTTGATGTCTCGATTTCTCGATTTTTCAATTCTTCGATTTTTTAAATTTTAGATTTTCGATTTCTAGATTTTTCGTTTTTTTAATTTTTCGATTTATCAATGTTTCAGTTTTTATGGTTCAATTTTCCGATGTTTTGATTTCTCAATTTTTCGATTTTTAAAATTTTCGATTTTTCAGTATTTCCACTCCTCAATTTTTCGTTGTTTCACTTCCGGGATTTTTCAGTTTTTCGATTTCTCAATTTTTCAGTAGTCAGTTTTGGGATTTTTCAGTTTTTCTATTCTTCAGTTTTTCAATTTTTCATTATTTCAATTTTGGAATCTTTCAGTATGTATTTGGATTTTTCACTTTTTTTATTTTTTTTTTTCTTCAATTTTTCGGTTTTTTTATTTCTCAACTTCTCTATGAATGGATTTTTGAACTTTCTGATTTCCCGATTTTTTCAGCTTTTCAATTTTTTGATTTTGCCATTTCTGTATTACTCGACTTTTGGATGTTTCGATTTCTCGATTTTCCAATTTTTCAGTTTTTCATTTTTTATGTGTCAACGTTTCAATTTTTCAAATTTTCGATTCTTCGATTTCTCTTCGATTTTTCAATTTTTCCACTTTTCGATTTCTCAATTTTCCGATGTTTTGATTTCCCAGTTTTTCGATTTTTTAAGTTTTCGATTTTTCAATTTTTCCAATCCTCAGTTTTTCGTTGTTTCAATTCTGGAATTTTTCAGTTTTTCGGTTTCTCAATTTTTCAGTTAATCAGTTTTGGGATTTTTCAGTTTTTCTATTCTTCAAGTTTTCTTCAATTTTTCCTGATTTCAGTTTTGGGATTTTTCAATATTTGGATTTTTCACTTTTTTTATTTTTCGACTTTTCGATTTTTCGATTACTTGATTTTCCAAATTTTGATTCCTCATTTTTCGTTATTTGAGTTTTGGGAATTTTCAGTTTTTTGTTTCTTCCATTTTTCGATTTTTCAATTTTTCGATTTTTGGATTTCTCAATTTCTCAAAAATCTCGATTAATGGATTTTTTGATTTTCCGATTTCTCGATTTTTCGATTTTTCAGTTTTTCATTTTTTAAATTTCAATGTTTCAAGTTTTCAGATTTTTGATTCTCCAGTTTCTCTTCGATTTTTCAGTGTTTGGAAATTTTAGATCTGGAAATTTTCGATATTTCCATTCTTAAATTTTTCGGTTTTTCGACTTTTCGATTTTTCGGTTTCTCAATTTTTCGATATTTTACTTTTTCGATTTTTCGATTATTTGATGTTTCGATTTCTCGATTTTTCAGTTCTTCGATTTTTCGGCATCTCAATTTTTCGATTTCTAAAATTTTAGATTTCCTGATTTTTTGATTTTCGATTTCGATTTCTTAGATTTTTCAATTTTTCAATTTTAGGAACTTCAAATTTTAGATTTTATTTTTGATGTTTCAATTTTCGGTTTTTCGACTTTTTAAATTTTAAAATTTTCGATTTTTTGATTAATCGAATTGTTTTAAGCTTACATTTTTCAATTTTTAATTTTTCGATTTTACTATTTTTTGATTTTGGGCGTTTCGATTTCCCGACTTTTCGATTTCTCGACCATTTGATGTTTTGATGTTTCAATTTTTCAGTTTTTTCGTCTTTTTGATTATCCCATGTTTGGATTTTCCAATTTTTCGATTCTTCAAATTTTTTGGTTTTTCAGTTTTTCATTTTTTTCAATTTTATATTTTGCTTTTTTGCCGATTTTTTATATTTTTTGTTTCAATTATTCGATTTTTCGATTTCTCAACTTCTCCATTAATGGATTTTTTAACTTTATGATTTCCCGATTTCTCGGCTTTTAAATTTTTTGATTTTACCATTTCTCGATTTTTCGATTTTTCAATTTTTCATTTTTCATGTTTCGATTTTCCAATTTTTCAATTTTTTGATTTTTTTGTGGTTTCGTTTTCTCGATTTTTCGATATTTAAATTTCCCGATTCTTTAAATTTTAGATTTTAAAATTTTTTTGATGTTTCGATTTTTCAGTTTTTCGATTTTTCGTTTTTCGATTATCTATTTTTTCAAGTTTAAAATTTTTAAGTTTTAATTTCTCGACTTTTGGATTTCTCAACTATTTGATATTTCGATGTTTCAGTTTTTCAAGTTTTCGATTCTCGAATTTTTCTTCGATTTTTCAATTTTTCGATTTACGATTTTTCAACTTTTCGATTTTTTACTTTTTTGATTTTTCCATTTCTCGATTTTTCAATTCTTCAATTATTCGATATTTAAATTTTCCGATTTTTTTAACTTTTAGATTTTCATTTTCTGGATTTTTCAGTTTTTCGATATTTTAATTTTTCAGTTTTTTAAATTTTAAATTTTTCGATTTTTGGATGTTTCTACTGCTCGATCTTTGGATTTTTCGATTTTCCAGATTCGATTTTTAAGTTTTACAATTTTTAAACATTTTATTTTTTGATTTCTCGATTTATGTTTAAATTTTTCCAGGTTTTCGATTCTCCAATTTCTCTTCGATTATTCAATTTTTCGAATTTTCGACTTTTCGAATTTTCAATTTTTCAATTTCTCGACTTTTTACGTTTTCGATTTTTCGATTTTTGTTTCGTTTTCTCGATTTTTGGATAGGTATTTAAATTTTTGGATTTTTGAAATTTTGGATTTTTGGATTTCTGGATTTTTCGATTTATGACTTTTTCGATTTCTCTATTTTTTAGTTTTTTTCTTATTCTGGTGTATCATTTTTTTAAATTTCATATTTTGCCTTTTTCCCGATTCTTGCATTTTTTAAAGTTTCAATTTTTCGAATTTTCAATATCTCGACTTCTCGACGTTGCAATTTTTCGATTTCTCAATTATCCAACATCTTAATTTCGAAAAATTTTCATTTTCGGGATTTTTTCAGTTTTTCGATATTTTAATTTTTCAGTTTTTTGAATTTTAAATTTTTCGATTTTTGGATGTTTCTACTGCTCGATCTTTGGATTTTTCGATTTTCCAGATTCAATTTTCCGATTTTACAGTATTTAAACATTTTATTTTTTGATTTCTCGATTTATATTAAAATTTTTCCAGGTTTTCGATTCTCCAATTTCTCCTCGATTATTCAATGTTTCGAATTTTGAACTTTTCGATTTCGATTTTTCGATTCTTCAATTTTTCGATTTTTCAACTTTTCGAATTTTCAATTTTTCAATTTCTCGACTTTTTACGTTTTCGATTTTTCGATTTTTGTTTCGTTTTCTCGATTTTTGGATAGGTATTTAAATTTTTGGATTTTTGAAATTTTGGATTTTTCGATTTATGACTTTTTCGATTTCTCTATTTTTTAGTTTTTTTCTTATTCTGATGTATCATTTTTTTAAATTTCATATTTTGCCTTTTTCCCGATTCTTGCATTTTTTAATGTTTCAATTTTTCGAATTTTCAATATCTCGACTTCTCGACGTTGCAATTTTTCGATTTCTCAATTATCCAACATCTTAATTTTGAAAAATTTTCATTTTCGGGATTTTTTCAGTTTTTCGATATTTTAATTTTTCAGTTTTTTGAATTTTAAATTTTTCGATTTTTG